CCAATTAATTAGTTCCAGTATAATTTAGGAGCAACGATGTAAATTAGCGAGTGCATTACGTAATTTTTTGAAAAATGTTGTAAGTCAATTGACGGATCGAATAGCGGTACAACGAATTTCGGAAGATTTTGGTGCACAACATGTACAGTATCGTTCCTTTGGTTTCCGGCCAGATTTTTTTGCTGTTATAGCAGATGCGGTTACAACGGAATGTGTATTGTTAGATTTCGCTATACACCCGCCATCTGAGGCTTTATTTGCTTGGTAGGACTGATGATTGATTGATTTTTCTTTAAAACTTATTTAACACTAATTATAGAAGTATCACTTTGTTTTCTGCTTCATTTTTTTAAGATAATTTTTTAACAAATTTTAATCTTTTGACACTTTACAAAATTATTTATCACACTTCGTTAATAATAAATTAGTTTAAAATGAAAAACAGAAACCATATGATTGAAAAAAATTCCTATGCCTTAAACAAATAAATTATGAAGGTTTCTTCAATCAATATTTTAAATTACCAATGAGAAACCATTTTTTGTTAGTTCTAAAAGGATAAAGAGCGCAAAATAAACGTTGATTTCTTCCCTTTTTTTTTTAAAGTTTCTTTGATATTGTTAATTTCATTTCGAGATGAACTAAAAAGCAGTGTTGCTCACTGTTCATAGCATAATTCGAATGGAAAATCTTCTAAATTGAAATTATGCGTTATTGTTAGGCTATGAAATTTCTTGAATTAGCAAAGCTAATAACTGATTTCTTCCTATTTGAAACTTATATCTTATCATAAGAAAGCGAAATAGCAGTGGCAAACATGAATGACCCCGACGTGATTCGAACACGCAACCTTCTGATCTGGAGTCAGACGCGCTACCGTTGCGCCACGGAGTCTACGCCTGTGCAATAACTCTTCTCATTGAAAGATTAAAATTTCGTTTTCGTTTGAATTTTTCATTGTTTTCGTATCAAATTTGCAGTGTATTTTTTGTACTAATTTTATTGCTATATTTAACACTGAAAGTTTAATAATTTTGCTATTTTCCCGTTATTTTTCGTTCCTTTTCGCCGTTAACTGGTAGTTATTCTTCTTTTTCTTCCTAAACTTTTCCTCCCTCTCTTCCTCTTCCTTAGCACTGTTTAATTCATTCTCGGTGATTTTTGAAATTTAAAATATTGGATGTGTTCTATAATAAAGTTGATTCAATAGGAAAAAAGAAAAGTTGTAATCAGTTGAAAAGAAAAAGATGATTTTTTTAATATAATGATTTCAGGTCAACATTAACAACGTTTATGTTCAGTTCCGTTCGTGATGGCTATTACAATGAACAACGACGAGTCCGTAAAGCATCACAGCAATATACAAATCGTAGTAAAATTCTCTTACACCATGCATCGATCGATATAGTTAGGCATTTGGACAATGAGCAAAAAAAGTAAGTGATTTCACGTCGGTCTAAAAGACCAATCAATTTAGGAATAAAAGGTATTCTAAATAAAATTGAAAATATAATTAAATGTGGCCAAATCGCTAAACAGTGATATTGAAAGAATGAAGGCATGAATGCAAACACGGAAATTCCGAAAATCTCAGAAAGAAGATCTCCAAAAATTCCGTTCAAAAAATTGATACAAAGCGTCCAATTAAAATGAGCGAAATGACCTCCAACATTCATGTTTGCTTCTTCTTTTTTCGAAATATCAATTTTAGGAGAAAAAGTTTACACATATATATTTCAGCTCGAGCATTTTATATAATTATTCATCTGAATATGATGCTGGTGAAATGGATGAATTGGAAATGAATAAAAGTACAACAAAAAGAATGGAAGAGGAAAATGGACCGACAACAGAAAGAGTAGAAATATCCGATATAGGAAAGGAATCGAAAAATTCGCCTCAGGCTGAGAGAAAAATGATATTCGAGAAGAAATTTATGATAGATGTCTACAGACAGCTTTTGATAGCACTTCACATTCGTCATAATTCTACTTGTTAGCGATATCAATGGATGTATTGCTGTGTACAGATGTGTAACTATAGTAATTATAGTCATAAACTTGTCAATAAAATGCAGCTTAAAACAAAAATATGCAATGTTAGCATGCTAAGCTTGTATGACTTCTATAACTTTGACAATACGGTCTGTAACGATAGGTTATATGAGCTGCACATGACAAGGATGTAAAACCTTCGTTAATCACTTAATAAAAGTGCAATCTGCATGTCATGCATCGGTATGAATGTAACTTTTTGACGTTTCGGCTCGGTTTACGTGAAATATATCATTATTTCGAATGTTATAAACATGTATTGTCTTCTTTGTTAATTTCCAAGAAATTCATAAAGATGATTATTAGCCATGAGCTTCACTGTGACTTAAAATTCACTCCTTTCGTCAATGGGGCTTTGAGATTTGAAGGATATGTTTAGATCAAAGAAATCCGTCAACAAAATACCACATTGGAAGGTAATTTAGGTGTCACATACCACTAAGTATCATACCAATGAGGTGCCTCGGTAGGACATCTCGTGTGCGGTACCTACGGGTCAACCGCATTTTCACTTAGAAATTAATGAAGCGGACCGGACAGTTGCGCATTTCACGGCTCGGGGATGTGTTTTAGTGGAGATTAGAATGCGAAATTGGAGAGGTGTGTATGTATGGGGTGTTCCTGCACGTGAGTTTTTCTCGTGGATTTTACGTGTAACGGGTGTTATGAATGGTGCTAAGTTTCTAGATAATTTTTAGTTTCATTCAAAACTGTTTAGGAAAATATTGATACTGATGTGCTGATTGTTAGATCATCAAATGTTGCAATGTTAATCAGGTTATCCTTTAGGATATTATAATTTAAATTTAAGTTTAAGACTCGACATGAATTTAAACAATAAATCTTATGATTAGTTGACAGGATAATGCTACCATTAGAATAGCAACATTAACAATGTAGAGCAAGGAGAAAAAAAATTCGTTATAATGACAAGAGTAATGAATGCATAGCGAAAGAGGTGTAGAGAGAAAAATTAGATAACCATTGTTGGTAATGATATTGAGAGGATGTATTTATTAGTAAATTGAAAAGAAAATACAAGATAAAACAAGGAAGGTTAAAGTCATTCCAGATTTCAACATTTTTTTCTTTTTTCTACTTTGTAGGAATGGATAAATATATTTGAAAAAAACGAGGGAGGAATGAATAATATTCGTTGAAAGTGCTGGAAAGTATTAAGAGATTATAATTGTGATGGCTTAGAGACAGTTTAATTTGTTAGGTTTTTAGAGATAGTAGTAATATTTTTCCTTTTATAAGAATTGTAAGAAATTATTGGTTTTTAAATTTTCTGTCATTCGCATGATAAATATTAGATTTCATGTTGAGGATCACATGATGCTATTTATAAGCCAATGTTTGACTGTACATTAAAAAAGAAATAGTCTAATTCAAAATCAACATTATATAATACTCTACATATGCTTGTTTTGAAAAGATTATATCATTTTCGAACTTTAAGTTTGGTTAAAATTTTTCAGGTTATTGAATTTCTTCTCATAGTCACAAATGATGACTGGACGGTGAGCGATTTTTATTTTTTCTTAAATCAACTTTGATTTTATAATCGGAATGAACTCTCTGTTCATTAAAACTGAAAAAAAATGAAACAGTAAAATTGTTACAGGCGACAACAAAGACCTATACCAGATGAAGCACCATTTAAAGCTTATGTTGGGAATTTACCACTTGATTTGGTTCCTGGTGACTTGGATTCCCTTTTTGCAGACTATGCAGTATGTTTCATTCATGTACCATTTTTTAAATAATGAGGAATAATAATATGATCAGAATAATTGTAAGCAATGTACTGACTTGTTATATATTATTTGCATTGTTTCTTAGTTTAAAATATCTGCAGGTTATTGAGGCAAAAATGATGCGTGACTATGAGAATGATCGTTTCAAAGGTTTTGCTTACATTGAATTTCGAACTCGAGAGGATTTGGAAAGAGCTCTAACTTTGAACGGTGTAGTAAGTGTAACAAAGTAATTAGAAGTATAATAGAAAAATTTCATTACTGTTGTCATCTTTGTTTTTGCAAAATTTAAATAAAATTTTTACATTTTAAATCAAATCCAACGATAACAAGGCACATATTGCTAAAAATAAACTATACTTGCATTGAAATTGTTGCTCGTCAAACTTGTTTTTTTGTTATTGTACTAATTAATTATCTTTTCTCACATATTTGAAAGGAATACGATGGGCGAGTATTACGTGTAGATGTAGCAGATGCGCCACGTGGAAGGGAACGTAGAGGTGGTGGCCGTAGTAATTTTGGTGGACGCGGTGGTAGTTCACGTGGTGGTGGACCATCTTTCAGAGGTTTTTTTTAACATAATCATTTTATAATTATCCGCACTTTGTTTTTAAGCAATATTTGAATATGATTTGAATTTGAATGCACTTCATTATAGGTGATAGCAGACGTGGCGGTGGATCTAGTCGGTCTGGCGAACGACCTAACAGTAGGAGTGATAATTTTGGCCATATGGATTATGACAGGTCAGATAGAGGTAGCGTTGGCCGCGGTAGAAGTCAAAATGTCGAGTTCGTTGCACATTCTAGTGGTTAGCTCAATTTATAAATTTTTTCCTGGTGGTCACTAATCTTAGTATTATTTCATCCACTTCGTAAGAGTTTTAGACTTGCTTCATTTCAGCACCTGGTAGGCCTCATTTAAACTTGAAACCACGTACTACTGACCCGGAAGAATTGGAAAGATTAAAGAAAATCGAAGAAGAAGAAACAAGAAAACGTCAAGCACGTATCTTTGGAGTGAAGGAATAGTTTATTTCAAATTATTAAGGAATAATTTATGAATTTGCTACCTACTGCATTTGTAAAAGCATATTACTTGCTGATTAACAAGATACAGCAGTGTTGGTTGTCTGTATTTGTGTTTTTTGTTCTTTGAAAAATATCTTCATATTTTTGCATGTAATTCATATCTACTAATTTCATGATTTTTCGTCATTTATGATATTCTTGAGGTTTTTGTTAAATTAAAATTTTATGGTACATCCGCTGTGGGGAATATAAAATTTTGCGGAATTTTCAGTAAAGATCATTGGATGAGATAAATTACATTTTTTCTTTAGAACTTCATGGAAATAAAAGCAATGGAATTATGGCGAAAAAATCATGGAATTGAGTTATCTTAGTTTTCCTTTTGTCTTGTTTGCTAAAACTCAATCCGATCAACTTTCAATTTTGTTATTGTTTTAATTAATAATCTGCTGAAATATACTGCTCATATTAAAACTGGAAAATTTGCTCGTAAATTTTAGACTTCATCTTATTGCTCCATCAATTTCATCGGTATTTTTTTTTGGTTTTGGTTCAGACGAATTGCTACCGCTGTAGCAATGTCATCCTTTTCATAATATATTTTATTTTCCTGAAATATGGGAAATGAATTTTAAAAGGAATTTTATTTCAAACATTTCTTTCAATTATTTTCTTCAAATTTTCAGGGTTTAAAATTATGAAAGCGGTTTTCTTTTTTGCTTTTTTTATTCTTCATTTAATTTGTCTTTTCCTTGCAACTCTTTTTTTAGAAGTATTTCCACTTCTCATTTTTGGTCATAAAAGCATATAATAGAGATGTTATTATAGTTCTGTGATTCGCGGGTATTTACCTATAGTTCTGAGATTACTGTGTGTGTTTTTTTGATGGATAAAATTTGAATCGGAAAGTTTGAACTTTTACTCGTAGTTTCGGAGGAATTAGTAACTAAATAATTTTCACTAACACATTAATAGATACCTAAATCATTGGTGTGAATATACCTGTGAGCCACATGTACCATTGGAAACATAACATTCCGACTATTCTTTCAATCTTCAAGCTACTTTTTTTCCGCATAGAAATATGAGAAATCGTTTTATAACCCTGATGGACGTTTTTCTTTTTTTTTTTTCTTTCATATATTCTTTTTCTTTAAAAAATTATTTCCTTTGATATATACATATATTTTGAAAAGGAAATTTTTCCTTTCAGTTCAAACTGCAATATATTTTTTGTTTTATAAGATACCTTTGAATTAGACCGTCTATCTGTACGGAATTCTCTGTCTCATATGATATTAGAATTATGCTGATTAAATCGATTGAGGTTAACACAGTTCACTTTTTTTAATTTGAGCTAAAGTTGCTCGCAATTGCTGGAAATGCTCATGGTGATAAGATTTAATATGGATGAAAGCTTAATTCATCTCAAATATTTCTGATTTATCTGAGGCTACTGAACATCCGCTAATTTGTTTACCACTAACAATTATATGTTGATAGGAAGAAAAATCAATGGTTATTTTAATTTTTTTTCTTTTATGGCAGCAAAATGATCACATTAGCCTAATTCTATCTCCTATGCATCATAGCAAAAAAAAAATGTATGATTATGTCATGCATATATTCGTATCCGATGGAAAATGAAGTCAATAAATTTTAACAATTTGGAAAGTAAGATTCTTTGTTCTTTTCATTCCTAGAAAAACTAAATACTGCCACTGATATAGCAGATTTCAAATTTTCAAATGATTTATATGCAATGGTCAGTTGATAGCTACAATACGATGGTTATCATTTGGTTTAGGAAAGACAAGAATACATTATTGAGAGATTTTTCTTTCCCTCTTTTTTCGCCTGTGCTTTGCTCTTTTCCTACTTCCAACATCGTTCCATTTTCATACTTTGTTGTTTGTTTCTCTTCAGAGCTCACAACTCATTTTATTTTTATCGAGAAACATGACGCTTTTTCTGTTTGATCTAATTCATCATAATATATGATTAAAATAAATGAATGATGAAACTTTGTTAGCGTCGATTCGCAATTTTTAAATATTTGTTAAGATTTGATAAGATGATAAAATGCACATCAAGTAATGATAAATGCAATTGTTATACGGTGATTATTAATTAAAAAATAATTTAACTTAAATGCTTTCATTATTATCTTTAGATTAGTGAACTACTTATTAATTGTTCTTTTTATTTGCTATGGTTGAATAAATGTCTGTCTTCGTATTATATATCATTTTAATTATTGTTTATTGCTTTAAGTTTCTTTTTCCGAAAAAAAATGTTTGCTACTTCATTTATATTTAGCATGGAAGTGAGGAAAGAGTGTTAGACAAAAAACATTTTTAAGCCAATTTTTTATTCGAGTTCAAATTGGGTCGCAGAGCAACGGATGCAATATGCAATATTTTCGACTGCAGATGGTAGCGTAAGTGTGATGATATCTGTGATAGGAAATTGACGGTGACCAGTAAGCGGAATCATCAACGCCGATTTATACTTATATAAGAATTTAACGTCAGCCAATTTACAAAATTGAAATATGTTTCGGTATTTGGAGCAAACTATACATGTGAAAAAGTTCGATAAATAGAGATATCTGATGACCCGACTGATAATCACAAGATTGTTGCTTTCAGCTATCAACCCCTTATTTATTATTCATTTCTCGGTCGAATAGCCAGTCGATAACGAGAATGACGATTTGGTGGCTCAACAAAAAAGAACCTCCAAAGCATTTCTCAACAACCGAACTTCATCACAAAAAAAAGCTCACTATCATTGTTTGTTAGTTTGCTAGACTACGATTTTCTGAATTTTCTGAATGAAAATGTTCAGCGAATTGATTAAATTCATCGGAAGCTACATTTACCGCAGATCGTATTTGTTAATAATAGGAAAGAGGAATTCACTTGTTCTGATAATAACCACTCATAAATGCTGTGTTAAGTTCTCTCATATTTGCACATTCATGTGACTTTCACTAACTAATCGCTATTGCTCAAAAACTTTTCGTCCAAAGCCAGTAAGGTGAAGGAAATGTTTTCCAAGGATTCATCGAATTCCAAAGTACAGGAGGATATATGATTGGAATAAATAAACTTGTTTCTTTTTTAATTTTTATTTTAATTAATAAGAATATATCCAGTCACATTTACTATAACTTGAAATTCAAATTGTATTATAAATGTAACAGAATAAATAGACAAACGGTTGATTTTTCTCACTCTCTTTCAAGAATTCATTTATTTACTGTATGCCGAAAGGATGTTGATGTAATTTGTCATTTGTGCTTAATATTAACTGTTGTAATATTCGAACATATGCTTCAATATTATTTTAATCGTTAAGAATTAAGAAGAAATCAGTGTTGTCACTGATTTCTTAAGGCATATAAAAAGTTGTAAAAAATGCTAAATCGATAGTTTGTGCTTGATGCTCATTGATATATTAGTTTAATATAATGCAAGAAATGAAAAAAATGGCAGATGAAAAAGGCAAAAGTAATTTTTGAAAGATGAGAAGGAAGTGTGATAATGTTGACGTCGATTTTAAAATTTATCCATATATTTATAATTAATCTATTTTGCAGTTTTTTCCAAGGATTGATAATATGAATACAACGTTACAAAAAAAATTGGAAACCGCATTAAAGCCATCTCATTTGGTAGGTTACATCTAATCAGTATGATTTACATAAGTCATAGAGTGTAAGATTTAAATTTTGAATGTACTGTAAAATACATTTTGAAGTATTGATGGTAATGAAGTGATAATGGTTATATTGTACGACTTCTCATCAATTTCAATATAAACATAGTTGATTTGAAATTATATGTAAGCATTTATTGCGTACATATAATTATATTGTGCTTAGTTGATTTAAAATTTAAGTAAACATTAATGTTGATACTAATTTTTTTTGCATATTAATGTTTGAGTGGTACTAAGAACATAAGGATTTATAATAAGATACTAATTGAAAGATTATGAAGATTGTTGTAATAGTTCACTTTTCTTCTTGATTTCATGAGATAAATGAGAAATAAAAATTGCAAGAAAGCAATTCATGGATTCTTTTTTAGAGCATCGAAGATTTCAGCGATGGATGTGGACTGAAATTTCGTCTGGTTATTGTTTCCGATAGCTTTGAAAATAAAACGACTTTAGCATCGCATCGGTAATTAATGACCATTTTTATGATGTTGATGATTAGAAATTAAATTGCTGCATGGTCGATTGCTTTTTGAATTGTTGTAAAGAATTTTTTTTTTTTAATTTTGATCGTAGAGCTATTGTTACTGTTATACTACTGCATTAAATTTTCGATCGTAGAGCTATTGTATAAATTAATTTATGGGAGATTTCTGTATCAATTTGTCACTCTAAAACAGATGGGACTTTTATTCAATATTGAGCCTGATTCAATATTTGATGTGATATGGATTTTGCAATAGTTATAGATTGGTTTATGATGTTTTGAAAGAAGAAATGCAAGCAATACATGCGCTAGAAATCAAAACTTATACACCTGAAAAATGGAATGCAACGGATGAAAGCGAAAAGAGAAATATGTAAGTTTGATACAATTTCAAATTACGGCATAATTATCATGTTTTTCTTGAGTGATTTGCAGTATCAATTTTATTATCTTATTTCAGGATATACTGAGATGTGAAAGCGATCAGATTGGCACCGATGGTCGTTTTCAACTGGAAACCTTTTACGGGTTTGCTAACATTACTCAGTGTAATTTATTTGCTTCATACATGATATAAGCATTGAGCGTTTGGGGAAAAAACTTTGTATAATCAAAAATTACTGATTAATGAAATGTAATAAATTTTCTACAAATGTTATTCATTTGTTGCTATGAAGGTGTTATTGTTGCTGAGATGTTGGTTTGGTTTTGATTTTGCTGTTGTCTAAATATAACTTTTGATTGTTATAAGTTGTAATTATGTTTGACAATGTTTTAATGATTTTTATGAAGAATGCATGGCACATTTTTATGAAATGACTATCCGAGTATGAAATGATTCGTTTCTTTCTCGAGTATCCAATTTTTCAATATTATTTTCCATTACGAGTTATCAGTGGCTTGGTTTCGAGCTAATGGTTTAGTGATTAACACTTTAAGTCTTCGAAATAATGTTACGTGGAGTAGGCGATTGCTTGAAATGTAGGATTAAAGTGTGTAGATATTTTGGAAATAATGTGCTAGCATTACTTTTGTCGATCCGGAGAGTGTTCTATTCGAAATGGTGTCGTAATGGATATTTGTAGGATGTTTGTTTATCAGTTGTTGAAATGGACATCCGGTAGTTCTAGCAGTGAAGATAGAGAACAACAACCAGTTGAAGAAATCAGTGAAGGACTTGCCGCAGAATTCGCTTCTGCTTGCACTTATTTACCGATTGTACTTAGTGAAGGTGTAATTTCACGTGAAGACCAGTTATATTTTTATGCGCGATATAAGCTTATTACATGCGGAAAGGCTGGTCAGTTTCTTTTCTGGATGGCATTCATATGCCTTGAACTAGTCCTATAGACAGTATTTGTGTATAGAATACAAGTCAGATGCATTTATTTGGTGGAATATTTTTTGTAGAAAAAGATTCGGGTATTATTTTTCATGTGAGATCGTGAGGTTTCTCAAGCTTTTAATCCTAGGGCTTGATGTTCTTTTCCGGAGTATTATGCTATCCATACATTTCATAAGAATGTGGAAAATTTTGTGACAGATAGTATTACTTATTCCAGTGAACGGTGTATAATTTTATTACATACTTATTTTAATCCAATTATAATAGATCCCAGTAAGATGCCCAGAATATACGATGTTATTAGTCGTGAGAAATTCGATGCTTGGTTAGCGTTGAGCAATATGTCGAAAGCGGAAGCTATGAGGCAGTATGTTGCGAGGCTTACTGAACTCAGTCTTGGTTGGGACGCAAATCAATCCTATCATATTCGTTATGGTGTTAGACCGAGTACATTGGTGGATGCTAAATCTACCGAAGTAAGTTGCTTAGATTCAATATAAACTTCGATATATAAATGGAGACGCTATTCTGTGAAAGGTGATTGTTTTCATTTTGTGTTGGTGGTGATAAAAAGTTAGAATACATGTTAACTGATCTTTCAATGGATTATCAAACTTTCAAATGTTTTGATCTTTTAGTTTGAAATTTCTAACCTTACTATAGTTTCCATTTTCTCATTTATTGCACAGTTTTTCAACTTGTTTTCATGCAAATTTTAAATACAAAAAATCAAGTCATAGCTTAAGAAAATAACAACTAATCAATCAACAATAATTATCAAATCGTATACTTTTACCTTTCATATATTTTTTTATTTTTTTATTTCTCGTTACAAATTTTAGTGGTTTTAAATTAGTTCTGACGTTGTCCATATTTATTATATTTACTTTGCTTTATATGGAACCTCAGGCCATATGAATAATTTATAGTTTATGTCCTTTTTCAAATAGAATCTTCTATCTTGATATAATAGAAGGCGTGCTTTTTGGGTCATACTTGTCAGTTTTGATAAATAAATTTTGAACAAGTTAAAATTTTACGGTCTTATAAAATGTTATGCTTTTTTGCTATTTTGCAGACAGAATCATCTGATATGAGTTTAGAGCAGATCGAATGGTTTTCTGCTTTAGATGAAGACAACATCGAGAAGCTAAAAAATCTTTTAGCTGGTAATCTGGAGCTTCTGGAAGAAAAAAATGAGAATCAAGTAACTATATTCACTTGTTTCAAATAAGCCTCTGACTTCATTTCTTTCAGCTTTATCGCCTTTTCCACATCTTTTCACTCTTTTTATGAAATGATAGACATGGTGATTCCGCCGAAAGAATAGATTTTTGTTATGGCAGGTCTTGCAGAGATCGCTTCGAATAGATCTTATACATGACTGATTTTTTTGATGCCGTTATTCTAAAGGTAAGTTAGATTTCGTAGTTTAATTTAAATAGCTTCAGTTAACTGCGCTGCACTGGGCTTCTGATCGTGGAAAATTGGAACTTGTTGACTTTCTCGTTGGTGCTGGAGCTGATGTTAATATTCAAGATTATGGTGGACAAACACCTCTACATTATGGTTATTACTTTATTAATAAAAAAGGGGAACATTTTCCTAATTAATCAAACCTGTTAGGAGAGAGCTGAGATTTTGCTGTATTAGGGAAAGGAAGGTAGAGGGATATATTTATCAAGTTCCCTTTGACAGCAACAACTTCGCATTTACATCTTGATTTCGAGGATAATTGTCCTTTAAGAGTTCATAAAAGTAGAAGTGTTTAGTGATTTGTACTATGTTTCTTGTAAGTTACGAGAAAGTTTTTGCCATACCCATTTCACAGTTAGAATCATCCAATATTATTAAGCTAAACCATTGCAGCCGTATCATGTTCCCATCGATCTGTAGTGGATTTTTTGCTCAAGAAAGGTGCTGATCCAACAATGGCTGACTTTGAAGGGAATTGTCCGTTGGATATCGTTAGTGATACAGTTATTAGGAAAATGTTGGAAGACGCCCTTCTGGAAGGAGGAGCTAAATCTTGAAAGTGAAAAATTCTTCATTGCTGGGAAGCACTTCATTGTTTAAATACAAGCTTCAGAAAGTGGATTCTAGTGAAATTTCTCCTTATATCATGATTTTATTAAAAGTCTGTGCTTCTTGATTATATAATGCAACAACATTAAAGATACATTGACTGCAATTAGAACCTCAATCTTATCTAGCTTGTCTTTCTATTTTAATGCTTTCGAGCTTATAATATTGCAATAGATAAGGTAATGGAGTTGGTCGAGCCAACTTTTTTAATTCAATATGCTATTAAGTTCGAGAAAAATGAATAAAATGGAGTTATGACCGCAATGAAGAATTGTTATTGAATTAAATTTGAACTTCTGAACATATTTATTTAATTAAATGTCAATTGTAACTTTGATTTCTGCATTGGATTGCTTTTCCAACTTACACATAAACCTTGCTAGTACTATATTCTCTGAATTAAGGAAGTAAAAAATGTATATCATTCGTATATTTATTATTGGATGCGACATTTTGATATGCGTTTAGAACCATACTAAGAGATATTGATTTAAAACTCCACGGATGATCTTGAAAGTGCTTGCTTTTTACAATGTTATACAAAGATTTGCACTGTAACATCTAACGACTGCAAAAAGAACGCATCGCGGATTCCACGTGTTCTAAACGTTAGAATAACTCGCGGATCCAAAACGCATCCAGGGAATGAATCAGATGCAGCCGATAAAAGATGACACTTCTCCATGGGTCCTCAATTTTCCGGAATTTTTTGAAGTGTGTAGTTAGTTGTAAGTTTTATCGGAATTAAAATTGCTGTTGCAGAACTCGATTACAATAACGACCATTATCTGTGCAATTCGGTTTGAATTTCGCTGTAAACGGGATTTCTCATGCGGAAAGAATATGTTCTATGACAGTCGTTATTTGCGGAAGAGTCTTCGGATATACCCAAATCTACATGTGTTATTTATGCTTACAGTGTAATAAATAATATTTACTTTGTACGAACATATAATAAAATAACATGAATATAACAGTGAGGAAGCAATTTAACAATAGACTTAAGTCTGAAATAAAAAAACAAAATCGAGGTGAATCCTATCTTATACAACTATAATAAATTAGTAAGGCCGATAAATCTGCAGCAAACTTTTATTCAGTAATAACTAATCGGGAAATTTTTACCATGACTCCCAAAAATCCATATACAAAGCCTTTTATTAATGGAACAAGAAGCTATATGGATATCCCTGGTATTTACTTCGAAATATGGAAAGTAATAAGCTAAAGAATACAACCACCAATCCGAGACCAACGAACGCCATGACTGAAAATTGTTACGATTACTTTGATACGAACTGATTCAATGAATCTGAAGAAAACATAAAATTTCCTCCGAATTTTCCAATACTTTGATTAAATTAGTGACTTACTCCGCCGTCGTCCAGAATCACCTTTGCCATCCGCTGCATCATTCATCAAGATGAAACCAGCTGTTATCGCAGCATATAATATCGCTACCAAGTACGTTTCTGCTACGAGCTGTAGTTTTACCATAATTTAGCAACAGCAACAATTACAAGCTCAGCATAAGAATAGTTATAGAATATGAGAAACAGATAATTGGACATAAGCACCCTAAATGTATATATAAATTTTACTTTTTATCCATTAATCTATAAGATAATCTCTTTTCCCACTTTTGTCCTTCAATACCAGAAATTTTTGAAAAAGTTACAGCATTAGATATGACCTTTCCAATTATTTTTCCAGAAATGATTTAAATTCAAAATTACGAAGGAAGCATACTTGATAATGAGTAGAACCATGGATGAAACTTGTTTCACGAGTGTGCGACCTAGTCATAACAAATGGAGGACCATGAATATGATTCCACATCTGTCCGCTCATAAACGCAAATACGATACAAAGACAAATTACTCCCCAACTTGTACGATTGTACAAGAGGTCGAGATTATTTCTGCGCATATACAATAACCCTAATACAAGCATTGCCAATAACAAAACAACCGCTGGCGCTGCATAATTTGGTGGACGAAGAACGCGAATCTAAAAAAATAAAAAGTTATAAAAGTTTGAAAATAATTAATTAACACCACTCACACAGCAAAACATGTCTAATCATACTGCAATTCTCTTTCCCTCCCTTTTTAACCTCTAATACTAGCAAAAATTTCACCACAGATTATAGAACTGCAAAAAACCCTTCCGATTATTTTTTTAGAAATAAAAAGGAAGCATACTACATATTGAACTGAAGCAAGGAAAAATCTGTTTCTTGAATATTTAATTCGTCATGACTAATAGAAAACAATAAAAAAATGTTTGTAAGAATGCAACTTAGAAAAAACCTGTATTTTTGTTCGTTCAAAAACATATTTCGCCATACTATCGGCATCAAAACCTTGCCGTTCAAAATCCATTTGATCACCTCTTTTTTTTGCACCTTTTGCTGGGAAATGAAAAAGTACAGGTGCAACATTTAGATTCATTTGTTGGAAGATTTCTGGAGACTCATTATAATCAATAATTGCGAAGTAAAGAGCTTTCAATTCTGGATATGCATATCGATATGAATTAGCTAGTATATAAAATTCATCATATGCAGATCTGAAATGATAAAAGGTTACTTCGTGACAGCAGGTAAGTTCGAAAACATGGAATAAAAGCATCCGACAATATTTCAAAACAGTCCTCTAACACAATAAATAGAAAATTTTCAACTATTCAAATGACGAAAACCTCACTTGCATACTGCACAATTAACATCTGGGGAAAGCGCCGTAAACATCACAATCATAGAGTAATTGCGTGGCGCACTTCTTACGTATGTCTTCCATCGATCCGCATTCAAATTGATAAGTGGTCTTCTATACATCCATTCCTGGAATAGATGAACCAACAATTTTCCAATTTGCTACATATTTTCTTCTTCACTGCTGAAAAAAAAAAACAAATAAAAAAGCCTACCTGCAAATTTTTGACTTTTTCATCCAGATACACTCCTTTCTGGCCATAGGTCATTCCCAGAACAGCAAGAAATACTACCGACTGTATAGTTGACATACCAATCTACGAAGATGCATAAAATAATGCAGTCGTCCTGAAAAACATGGAAAACCACCAGTACTCTGAAATCTCTCAAAAATGCAACAAAACATGATCTGGACAAAGTTGACACACCCCGCACTTCGCACTGCTAGGTTTTACAAAAATCTTACTGCCTCCCTAACTTCGTTTCAAATTTAACACTAAATTCTCGGCTGTAAAAAGCCGATAACGCCAGTGTAGAAACAACAAAATGCAATATATTCCTAATTTATTGAAGCCGAAGAAACAGCACTGTGTGAAATGCAATCACAACTTCGTGATTTCAATCAATTTATTCCTTCTATTTAAAAAAGCAGTGTAAACAAAAGTTCAAATGATCGAATGCTTTAATGTCAACATGTACTGCTCACTTTCATAATAATTTATATATTTGAGGTGTCATCAAAAAGTCACACTGTTTTGTAATACATTCAAATCTTTATCGAATTTATGCTTATATAAATGAAATCCTTGATAATAACAGTAAAAGTTGATTCAATTCTTCCCGTTTTATCATGTGAAAGATAAATCCTTCAGTTTTACTTCGAAATCAAACAGACTGCCGAATATGATACCAGAAAAATAATTCAATTTATGTACATTGACAAAAAAACCGAAAAAATCCGACTTTATTACTTTTTAGTGGTACCAAATCCACCAAACCCCATAGTTGCAGCAATTTCTTCATCAACTTGTACCTCAGGATACTTCCGTTTCTTTTGTTCCAACCGTTTGGCTTTCTTATAATCAGCCATACGTGCCTAAAAGTGGAATATATAAAGTTGATAAACATTGTCTTATATTCTTTAAGAACACCTGCATAAACCATAAAAAGAACATTCTTAAACAAGACTGCATGAAACTCACATACCTCTTCCTCCTTCAAATCATCCAGTCGGTCATGCATATCCTCTTCCTTTTTCTGCACTTCTTCTGAAATTTCAGAACAAGATCCAATCTTGAATTATATATGAACTGATAGCATTAGTTCTTGACTTTTGGGATTTTACAATTTCCAAAACTACAACATATCAATTATTAAATACAATATATCAATTACTTCCGCAAATGATCCTTACTTTGAGCTTTTTTAAAAGCAAATCGCTGGCGTACTTCATCTAGTGTGCTTCGTTTTATCTTCATACTCATGCCCATGTTACGCTGATGATTCTTTCCATTAATATGATCTAGAAAATTGATGGAATCTTTAACGACACAATCACAAACATCACAATAGTATCCACCAGTTTCAGCTGATGGTGTTGTTTTGTTGATAACCACTGTGCGACCAACTTTCGATTCCAAATCAACCTTAAACAAAAACGTGAATAAAAAATTCCTACCAAAAACTTAATCCAATATGTGCATGATTTTATGTAAGCTAGATAATTTAAAAAATTTTTGTACTAAATGTCTTCTGATTTAAAAAGATTCAAATAAAAGCTAAGTATGCTAAATTCTTAACCTTATATTCTCGAGCTTTCAATAATTCTCGTTTTACTTTCGGTTCGTCTGGGAATCGTGGCAGCTTACGCTTTCCTTTTATTTCTTCATCTTTTTCTGCCAATAATCGTTCTTGTGCTTTTCGCTCAAACTCCTCCCGATCCCATTTCCGCCGATGATCCACACTTGCGGAACTTGTGGGATCATAAACTGACATCCTCGCTAAATTAAAAATAAAGAAAAACTTCCACAAAGGATATGTCACAAGTAAATAATGAAATTTCGAGTAACTTTAAGGAAAACACATCTCATCATTAGGCTATTAATTTATACTTTATTGACGTAAAAAAATTTACGATAAATTCTACACAAAATCGCATTTGTATAAATTTTTATTAAATCACATGAAAAAAAAGATGCATGTTACGACACGAATAAGTATTTCACACAATTAAACAATGAAATAATAATTGTTAGATTGAAATTTGCACAATTACTAGATAACATGAAATATACGCTATCACAAATACGTAAAAACACGTCCACCAAATGAAACCAATAAAGCAGTCCTCTAATGACACGTGTAAGACGAACAAAGGTCACTCTCTCCGAATCTCATTTTTCTGATCCCTTTTTCGTTTTTCGGTGATTATAAAGTGTGATTAGTAATGTTGGATTTTTATCTTATAAGGAAATTTATTTCTTTCTGACAAAATTAAAGTGAGATAATAGAAGAGGTTATATCGAGAAGAAATAGTTATTGTATTGTGGATAATTAGAGATTAATAAGAATGGAAAGAATAGCAATGATAGATGAAAAGAGGGGAAGAGATATTTGTACTTAATGTTTCGAGCAGTATAGCAAAGATCGATGAAATAAGTGTTTTTTTTTTTTGAGAGAGAGAGAGAGAAATAGTATTGAGAATGGTTTTGTTGATTGAAAAATAATAGTTGAAGTTAAAAAAAACTGGTGGAATAGAATTAATAAGAGAAAGTAAATTATTGATAAATAAGTCATTGTTTTTGTATGCTAATATTTAATAATAAATTTAAAATTAGTTTGCAATAAATTCCAGCCAAAATGGAAAAAATGCGAAAAATGCGAAAAATTTGTTTTAAATCAATCCAACTGTAAGTGAAATAACTAAAAAATAGTATATTATTAACATATAGGAATATAAATGAAAGTTTAAGCGTAGATAAAATAGAGGTAATGAAATAGATGTAAAATATGCCTTATTTTTTTAAACTCACTTTAATCTGTTAATAAAAAAAAGTAAATTATTGATAAACAAGTTTTTTATTCCTTCTTTATTCTCTTTACAGTTTGTTAGTTCTAATAAATTTTTGCACAATATTCAAAAGTACCAACTTCAGCAATGTGAAAGCATCTGTTACTTCAGATACTTCACTACTATCGATGGTTTTTGTTGTAATATGAACATCTTAATGAATACATACTTTCTTTTTTCATCTCTCCTCTCTCTTCTCTTCTCTCTTAACAGTTGCTTCTTCATAGTTCGGAGACGTTAGCTTCCCGAGTTCGGTTGTTGCTTGCTTATTGTGATGATGTCAGTAGTTTCTACCAGTTTGATACATTACGATTTCATTATCATCCTTTTCATTCTTCCATCATTATAATGCTTCATTCATATGCACTTTTGATAATATTTTAGAAACATTTCTATTTATTCATTTTATATTAACGATATCTCTATTAGCAATAGAAAGTATAGAATTTTATCTTAAAAAAATATATAACTTATTGATTTTTTAATGCGTGCATTTCGTTAAATCTTAATGTATTGTATATTATTCAATTCTTTAATTTATTTAAAATTGGAAAATCCACAGTCAATAACAATAAATCACAGGAATTTTCGTTTAGAGAGCGAGCCGAAATTTATAATAAATCACTAAGAATTACCATATTTTATCTTTTATGATGGTATTAAATGCATAATTATTATATTATTTTTTTTCTTATGATTATATCCCTGTTAATTTATTAATTGATAAAAATGTTTAATATATTGTTAATTGTATCGTGGATATAATTTTGCATTTTTTCCGAATTTTAATAGACAAAATGCCGATAATAAGTAAGGCAGACCGAAGTCGAGATGAAGCAAGTGCAGAAATAGAGCATATCGATCGTGGAATACATTCATTTCAGGAAATTTCTCACATATGTTAGTTCATATTTTATTCATTCAAAATTTTGTTTATTATTTTATTTCTATGGGAACTTTTTAGTTCATTTAATATGAATTTTATCAAATTTCTTTCTTAGTATTACACATGTAATTTAAACACTGCGTTATATAAGTAATTATTACGGTGCAGTATGTTCTGTATATCTTTTTTGATTATCCTGATATCCCTGATTATAAAACAAAACAATTAAATTCATCGATTCAACCTTGTGGTAATAATGAGTAATATTAACAGTAATGTTTAATTTGTCGATTGATTACATACTTCCATTCTCGAAGTACGTACTTCCGTTCTGGAAGTATGTACTTCGAACCACGAATTGTTGTGAAATATGTCCTTCCCTTTTAAGTTTTTGATTGCTAAGCTTACTATTATTTTATTATCTAATCATTGGATAGATTTGCTGGAAATTTTCTGGTATATTTTAATATGATGTTTTTATATGATAAAATAATATTGTTATTTTTGTTTCAGTCAACAATATGGCATTGAGAAGGTTGATTTTGAGTCACAATAAAATTTCATTCGTACCACCAAATATCGCTGATTTGGTTAATTTAGAGGTATATTGCTGAATTCTTAGAGATTTGATTGACATCAAAAAGTAGGTGAGTATATATTATTCTATCACTGAGACATTTTTTTAGAGCTTGAATTTATGGAACAATCAGATCGAAGATTTGCCGACATCAATATCGTCACTGAATAAATTGCGAATTCTTAACTTGGGGTTTTGTTTTATTTTTATCATTTTTTTATTAACCGGAATTTAACCAAATAATTTACATCAGAATTGCCAGGATTATGTAAATATTAAAAATATTGTATAACAACATTCTGTAATGGCGAATTATCGGTATCCGAAAGAGGAATTCTGCTTATATTATCTTTTGACTCTTTAATTCAGTTTGCTTTTTGATTAGGTGAGTTTTCAGAATGAACCGACTAAATATATTGCCAAGAGGTTTCGGATCATTCCAAGCACTGGAAATACTGGACCTAACTTATAATAATTTGAATGAACGTAGTTTACCGGGAAATTTCTTTTTTATGCGTTAGTTTATTTTTGTGTTTTATCTTGTTTATAATTTTAATTGCGTCATAATTATCACATGCAATAATAACTGAAATTTTTAAAAATCCATTTATTCATTGCATCCGTTAGAATTCTTATTTTCCGTATAAGATTTCTTAGTTTTCGATGTTTTTATATATATATAAATCATATGATCATTAGTATCACTCTGATATCAGTTCATCCACAGCGTGAAATATAGCTATAGAACCAGCGCAACAATTCCGAGCATGTCTCTCTTTCTTGATCATATTTATACTTACACTTTTATTGTTAAATTAATCAATATCGTCATTAATTTTCTATGATATTGTTATAGTGCTGAATACTAAACTTTAAGCTTTGAATGAAATTGTGATTGAAAATTGAAGTTCATCTCTTTGTTCTTTTTAATTCTTTTTTATTACTTTTATGTTTTTATATTGTTTTTTTCCAGCAACATTACGTGCCCTATATTTGGGTGATAATGATTTCGAATATTTACCCGCTGATATTGCAAATCTTTCAAGTTTGCAAGTTTTGGTGTTACGTGAAAATGATTTACTCGCTTTGCCAAAAGAAATTGGTAAACTTTATCGCTTGAAAGAACTTCATATTCAGGTATTTACATCTATAACATTGAATCGATGTTTTTGTATGAATATGTTATCAGCATCATTATATAAATGTAAATACCCCTGAATAGAAATTTCAGGTTTTTACTTTATTTGTATACGAACTATTTAGTTGAAGTCAGATGTTTTGTTTAAAAAATGTATTTTTTCAAGGGAAATCGTTTGACCGTTTTGCCACCGGAAATTGCTGGATTGGATCTTGTTGGTCCAAAACGAGTTCTGCGACTTGAAAATAATCCTTGGGTACAACCACTGGCAGAACCATTAACAAAAGGTATGTATATTTAATGAAGTCAACTTCAGTATAGTATCAAATACAAGCAACACTAAGTTAAATAGTTCACGCGTTACTTAATTAAATTAATGTAATGTTTATTGTTTGCAAATAAAGTAGAGAATAATGATAAAATAAGAAG